CTATATCATAGATGCCTAGTTTCTGTTAGAAGAGCATAGGAATATGTCATTGAGACCCTTATTTTGTCTCTCTATTAGATCTTTATTTTGTTTATCAAAATGACATCTTTTGTTGCACCACTTTACACGACTTAGATCTCATATATCTCCTGAACTTACAACCGCAGATGTGCAAAAACCAGATGTAGAAAGGTTGTCAGACAAGAATTCACAAGTAGCAAATGCTAAGCCCCCGCTCTGGCACTTCATTAAGTTGGACATTGATCATGTTCCTGCAGAACTAGCTAGAGGTGTCTAATTTTACCTATTGTGAAATTATTGAATAGTTTTTGGGCAAACAATGTTTCTAAGTTCTATAGGCTCGCTTTTTTGCAAAATTGTATTAATATATTGAATGAAACAGGTGATAAGAAGGAAAAACTTGGCAGCAAAAGAGTGAGATGGAACCCAGAATCAGCAGGTATGCAGTCAATAAAATTTTGATTACCGACCTTAGATTTGAAGTATATGATTGTTAAAATTAAGTTGTAATGTGGTACTGATATTTTTTTACACGTCGAAAGAATTGGTGTTGGATGCAGGACAAGAATTCAGGCCCATCATTTTTATTCATCCATTAGTCTAATGTTACAAATACAGAGAGATTGTTCAACATATCATTGATTAGTATGCATATGCACCTAGGTTGTCACTCGGTCTATCTAATGCCTAGGTATTGGACAATTGTTCTGGCATTTTCAGAATAACAAAGACCATAGGAATTGAAAAAGTCCCCCTCCCCAACCCACCAAATGTGCACAGCCAAAATTTTCTGTTTATGCTTATTTTGACCACTATATTATGGCATGAGATATAATATGTTTACTCCGTTACTTGATTAAACGTTTGTCCTTGTCCATATGACAGGCATGCACAAATTGGATCTCTTTGAGAAGCTTGAACAGAAGCATCAAGTACTTTCTTTTCCCCCTTCTGTTTCGAAATGAATTCCAAATATTTCTTTTGTGAGAATTACTAGCTCTCTCATTTATACTGCATTTCTCCATATTAATGAAGAAAAGGAAAAGAACGAAGATTTTTGAGAATCACAGAACCTCGACTGTGATTTTATTGGTTTTGTTGTTAGTTTCTACCTGCATTGCATAATTTACATTGGTTTTCTATGTCCAGGGCCAAGAAGGAAAGGAAAATAAAGAAAATGAAGATCAGGAAGAAGACGATGAAAGAAATGAAGAGGAAGCAGAAGAAGAATTCAGTGATGAAGGCGATTATGAGCAGGTTTACTGCAAACTTCAATTTTTGTATATCCAGACTCTGATTTGTCCTTTTCTAGTTCGTTCTTATAACTACAAGCTCCCAGTTTTCTGTGTTTATTGTGTATCCAAACATGTTGAAGCATGACCTTTAGTTGTGCAAGACTCTTTTTAATTAAAGATTAGCTTTTTCGTGTCAGATAAATTAACTAGAGGCTTGCAATTGTGTTAGCATTGTCATGCATGATATTGAAGCATCAGTTTCTTTTCATGTTTTTGAAATATTAGCTCCTTCCATGTATGTTGCTGCTAATACTTCTGCAAATCTTACAGAATGAATATTTTGATGATGATGAAGACGACTACAATATGGCTGATGACAATGATGGTATGCTTTTTGTCTAGCATATGCTTTCTGCATTTTACCTCATTGGCAGTTAGTTTCTTGATATTTGATGGAGGTTTAACATTGTTTTTACGATTACGATTATTGCCATTTACATTAATCACGTTCTAACAAATATAATGAATTTACAGATGAGCCCTTCTTTTAGGTTCCTGTAATGGGAATCTTTCCACCAACTTGGCATTAATTTTGTACTATTGAAGATTTACTTTGCTTCCTCGCCTTTAAGATCAACATGCCAGGAGGATCTTAGAATTGTTTTGCTAGGAGATGGAAGGAAGATAGCACAAGGGGTGGGATGTTTGTTCGACTGCAAGATCTGTTCAGTTTTGGACATAAAAGAAGGGAAAGTGGAACAAGCTGAATTGGCTGAATTTTATACTCTTCTATTTATGTTTAATTTATATGGGGAACAACTGAAGGTTTTTCCTTTCTACCTTTTGCCCATGGTTATGAGTATGTGATTCAGATTGATTGCTACAGAAGTGAAGCTGCAAGTGCAAAAACAGTCTCTTTATTGCCTTTTTAATTAGAAAAAGACAATTGTACCTTATTTTTGAATTAAACAAAAAAATAAAAATAAGATATGCTCACTCAGCAGCCACAACCCTACTGCCTCCCTTGTCGGCTTCGACTCAGTTGCTTTAGTTTTCAAGAGGGGATTCCGACTTTTAGAGAACACTAGAAACATCTTCTAAAGATGTAGAATCTAGTGAACTAGAAGAGATAAAAGAGGCTGTAAAGAATGTATTAGGACCAGATGAGACTGATTCTCAACGGATTACCCTATGCTTAGTAGAAGCAAATTGGGAAGACATTGTAAGAACGTCGTCATTTATCAAAGTACTCTTTTAAGACATATGATAGGCTATAGCTTTTGAAGGTTTTTTTTTTTTTTTTGTAAAAAATGNNTTTTTTTTTTTTTTTTTGTAAAAAATGCTATAAATGATTGGATTATGCTATATGTACATAATTTTTTTACATAATCTTTTACACTCCACTCACATTAGGAGGTGGGGACCACGAGCCGCCATTTTTAAACACACACGGGCCCCGCACACATTGTGAGGGGGGTACACCATTCGGTACATCCGGCATTTTCCTAAATGATTAGATGGATTATATAATGTCGAAATAACACTTGGAAAACTGTTGACGTACTGGCGGGGGTCAAATTGTATCGGGTGTGAGTATTCAAGTGAAAATAAAATACCGATTGTTTAATCCAAATAGATTAGTAGCTAAATGATATCGACAAAAATAAGGAATAGATTAAATCGACATATACAAACGTAGCTAGAACAACTTCTATTGTGATCTTATTTGCCTTGGCTTCTATTTATAATATATGCATTAATCAAATGGATGTTAAAACAAAATTTTGAAATGAAATTTAAATGAAGAATACATGGGAAAACCAGAAGATTTTATAATGTCCGGCAACGAAAATAAAGTATGGAAGTGTTATGTCACTTTATGGATTAAAGTAGCATCTAAGAATGGCATAAAAAAATTGATAGTGCTATTATATCTTTTGATTTCAACAGATTAATGTTTATGTACTAAGACATCTAATAGATATATTCCATTTGTATGCTTGTATGTAGACGACACATTGATTATTAGTAATTGTTGACCCCAAAAAATGAATCAACAGATGCCTGGCTCACAAACACAAAGTCAAGTACGATTTCGGTGCGTTTCTACTAGAATGATGGCGGTAGAAATGAGAAAATAGACGCAAGAGATACTTTGAGGCGATAGACAAAATTGTTCGAGCTCCGGCGGGTGAAATGAAAGCAATCGCGCTAACAACGATTATCGGGTTGAAACCAAACTAATATATGTAATCACAAACAAGAATATATGGAAGGATAGATGAAATGTTAATATGTTTTTCTCTCGAAACCAAGTATATATTTATCTCTCGAATATGTGATTGTCTCTCTTTTTATCCATCATCCCCTTTTTAATTACAAAGATGACCTATTTATACCGCATTGGCTGATGTGGTGTCCGTTGGATCAGAATCACGTGGCTTCATCTCTTAAATTGGGGCATCACATCACTGTCTATTCATATAATTAATACATTTAGGGGTGGGCGTGAATTGGGTTGGGTCGATTTTTGCCCAAACCCAAACCCAAACCCAAACCCAACACAACGTTGTTGGTTTGTTCGAAATCTAACCCAATTATGTGTCAGTCGAGATCGAGTTGGGTTGGTCGGTTTGAGATAAACTTATTGCGCAAAAATTAAAATCATCCAATTTTTTGATGTAAAATAACATCCAATATCAATAAACTTGAAAAATAAAATAGTACAATCCATCAAATATTCATCAAAAATAATTAAATAAAAACAATTACACATATCATTAAAAGTTAAAACAAACCACAATAGCAAATTATCACTATGAAAGAACACAAGTAAACAAAAGTCACATTGATCCCATGACTATAAAACTTTAGAAGAATATAAAAAGAGATACAGTTTATTTTTTCGTGAAATTCTAAACTAAAAGTTGTTTGATCAAATTTGATAGAGAACATGCCAAGAATGAAATGTCTAATTACTGAAAACTATAAGAAGTCATTGCTCAACACCAGCAACTTCAAATAATGCAAAAGGTTAATGAGATTTTGCACTTTTCACTTTTCTTGTAATTACCAGCTTCTGAAATTTTGGTGGTAGAAACAAAAAACTTAGAGTCTGTTTGGTACAAATTCTCATTTTCTACAGTAAATCAATTCTCATTTTCAACCACTGTAAGAAGTTATTTTATTATAAAAGGTAGTGTAATTATGAAAAAAGAAGAAAAAGTTGGTGACATTTCCCATCATATCACTATTCAAAAATCAATTCTTCCCCCAAAAATTCCTACCAAACACACTCTTAGTCATGTAGTCCTCGATTGTAAGACTGGAGCGGGAGATTGACAATAACAGCAAAAGGCACACTAGGGACAACACTGTTTCAAAACTTGAATCAGAAAAACGAAATAATCAAAATTTAGATACATGGGTTCTATGGTAAATTTACCATTGCCACAATTAAGAACTAAAACAAAACTATAACTATATAATATTCATACCAATAAACCTGTGGCAGCATCCACGAATGTTCAAGATCCTTATTTTCATGAGATCCATATGTGTGTGTGTGTGTAACTGAAACGTGAAATCTTGTAAAATGAATAAATTACTTATGTTAGGCCTGTGGTCTTCTTCAGTTTATTTTGAATTTATTGAATCTAAAAGTTCGTCCATTTGGTTGTCATGCTTAACATCTTCCATGCAAAAACCATCCTAGTTGGGAGAAACTTTCAACCAATTTTGAGTG